TCCGGATCCCGCTGAAATCTTTTTTTTCGAAATCATGGAAGACTCTCTTGCTAATGCTTCTCCGTTGGGAAAGCTTCCGAGATGTGTATTTTGTGGAATGGACGGCTCGGCCAAGTTTGGACAAGGCGAACTTTGCCGATTTCGTACTTCCAGGAATCCTGTTCGTCTTCCAGAATGGTATGTAAACGTCCTCAGTGCTGAAATGCGAGTGTACGCGACAAGTAAAAGGTCTTCTGGCAGACTGGCCTACGGAAGTAGGAGACATTCAGCAGAAACACCCGTTTTCAATGCACCAATTCTTCCTATAAATGGAGCTGAAAATCTTGTCGGGGATTATTGCTCTTTTGATGCCTGCCGAAGACTTCAAGAAGGAAAAATCATTGAGTTGTTCATTTTTTGATTTGATTACTCCTAATCTCTAGACTAGACGGAAAACCTGCGCTAAGCGGGCTCCCGAATGCATTCGCTGACTCTGAAGGCCGGCCGTTTGGTTTTATCGACGAGCTCAATACCATGGGCTGGCCCATTTCCCCAAACCCTGACGAACAATTACAACTCGAGTGCCTTCTTTTAGCCTGTGCACCAAGGGAAGGTGGTGAAGGCAGTTGGTATTTTGCACACCATTGCTGTGCTTCGTGGTCTGATGGTGTAGTTATGAACGAACAGGTTCGTTACTTCGCGTTTTGCTAGAAAACTCCTTAAATTTTTAATAGAAATTGTTCGAAGGAGTTGAGGAAGCTGCACTTCGTGCAATGCACACCGTGTGTGCTCTATGTTTGCGACGGGGGGCCAGTCTTACTTGCCGCGCTGACGGTTGCACTCGAAGTTTCCATTTTCCCTGCGCGGCTGGCGCTGGTTGCTACCAGGAAGTACGGACTTTGGAGATTTTCTGTCCTTCGCATCTTGATCACGCCATAGCTTTCGGTATGTCTCAGTTTTCTTTCGTATATTTTACCTGTAGACCTATTCTGTCTTGCATTTCTTAATGCTATGCCTTATCAAATAATAAACTCTCTTCATATGGTCTTAATAATTCAGACGAATTTGATCTTATTCTCATCGGCCCCTTTTCAACACTTTCGTCATCGTTGACATATAACGGAATGTCATTTTGCATCCAACGTTTTTGCGTTCACCTCACACCTGTAGAAGGTGCTGTCATAACTTATAATTTAGAGTAAATTTGTTGCTCAGGACAAAGTTATTGCTTTTCGCAGTGCATTTCGGTCTTCCAATACGCATTCTATAAACACCCGTCGGAAATTTAACTTGGAACTGTTAGACATCCACTGCTAGTCTCCTTGTAGTCCTTACTGATGTCTATTAATTACCTTTTTACGATCTTGGTATTTTACAATGGATGGGTTTACAGTTCCGTGGAGTTATGTTAATTGCTTATCATAATGATATTGATTACCCATAAATGACCCTTAGTTCTACTTTCGCCGCTCTTATGGTTTAGATATCAAAATGCAGTTGCTAATATTTCTAATCAGACTGTCCTCACGGTCTGTGTTAAATGAATGCTGAAGGGAATTCTGCCTTACTGCATTCTTATAGTAACGGTTAACATTGTAAATTTGTCTACCCAAAATTTACATGCTCTGTTTCACTGTTCCATAC